CTAAGATAGGTCTGCGTACAGCATGTAAGTATAGTTTTCTGCTTTGTTGGTTCGTTACGGCATAAGACAGGTTCTCTCACTTTATGCTGTGAAATTTAGCATGTTTGACTAACAGGAAGTGTAATTGTGTTTATAAATGCTTATTTTCGCTCTACTCTTATGTAACATTTTAGTTCAACAGATTTTATAGTGTTTTATCCTTGAGGTTGCAGTTAAACAAAATGTAACTTGATTCAACATTCGTCCTTCACTTACAAGATCCCAGCAGACCTGTTCTGACAGGAGCAAGAAGAAATATTCAGAAAAGGAAGGAGATAAACTGGTAGTAATAGTAATAGAAGCACGAATGCCGAAGTCTGCAGGCCACAGAACGTGGCCGGAATCGCAGTGAGTTCTGACCACATTCCTGGTTTGCTGTATACAGGGCGTGGGAGGGCTAGGCTTGAAGTGGGGCAGTGGATTACTCGTCTAACGCGGCAAGTTGACTGTTTTATGCGAATAAATGAGTGAGTGACGACCTGACAGGCATGCTTACTCATCACTGACCATTTTCGTACCGCGACTCGTTCCACCTCTTCCAAACACCGGTTCAACCTTGCCAATTACCCCAAATCTGCAAGCATTTTATGAAACCCGAAGGTTCACTACCGTGTTCACAAGAGCCCGCCACTGGTCTCTGTCCCGAGCCAGATGAATCCAATCCATATCACCCCACATGGGTGAGAAACGTATCGCTCACTGTTTCCAGACATACCATGTGAATCGAAAGCGCTTGTGATTGGTCTGAACTAGAGATTGACAACTCTGCCCCTTTACTTTTCCTTGATACTACCGCCCTCCTGTTTCAGTCTTGGTGTCTGTTGTACTGGAGTAATCAGACAAGTTGGCAGGAATCATTGCGTGGGTGATCATAATCGCAGTGCGATTTTGCGTCGTGTTTTGTTTTGTGACACGTGGTCTTGAACACTTTCTGTCTGTAAATATATTATTTTGTCTAGGAATTGAATATATAATTTATAGGCCTGTATATGCGAAACGTAAGAGTGATAATTCCAGTTGTTAGGGGTGGAGTCCAATCGTAATCTGTTTTTAAAACTCGATTGTTTTGGTGATAGAGGAAAGATTCAGGTGCAGATGCAAACGACAACGGGCAGCAGTAACCAGCCCGTTATTTGGATCCCGCTGGTAAAATACTTCCTTTTCTTTAAATGTGACATATAAAGTCAGTTCTTGGTGTATTGCTTAGATCGACTCGAGTTAAAGAACTTTAGTTTTAACCGTGTTCCGTGTAATCTTCAAGTAAGATTTGAGAATGTCGATTTATTCCCGTCCGTGCATGTTGGCTGTCTGAAGAGAACAAATGAATAGTTATTGTGCACAAGTACAAAAGAATAATTGAACTGCCTTGCTTCGGAAGTTTGTTCGTTATATTGAAATTATGATAAAAATCGGTCCCTTCACTTTCATTCTTAGATTTCGTATAGCAATTTCGGTAAGATCTTATTGTGTTCTTTTTTTATATTTTCTCTATAAAAGGGAACTGATTCTGTCATCTTCGTGCATAATTCTGGTTGGGCTCTTGTGTCCATGTAGGTTTATCATTCAACTAACCAGTGAGTTATCCATAGCATATCTTATTTCTTTAGCAATAGAAAGTTACTCAACTGGTTAAAAGTTGAAGATTTCTGTCTTCTGGGTTGTTGCGCTGTGTAGTCTGTTCGATGTTTACCAACGTTTCAGAGGTCATACTGCATTCATCGCCCTGATGACGGAGGCAGTATGACCTCTGAAACGTTGGTAAACATCGACCAGACTACACAGCGCAACAACCCAGAAGACAGAAATCTTCATACTCATCGCCCTGATGACGGAGGCAGTATGACCTCTGAAACGTCGGTTAACATCGACCAGACTACACAGCGCAACAACCCAGAAGACAGAAATCTTCATACTCCCCGCTGTGAAAACCTCAAATCTTACATGGTTAAAAGTTGTCTTTCATGTAATCTGAAGTTTTGTGTGAGCCATATAACTTGAAGAACGACTCGATTTGGTACATGGGCCTGCATAACAAAGTATAATTAGCAGTTAATTTATTTCCTATGGTGGAATCGAGCTACTTTCGTTAGTATAGCGACTTGGATACAAGTTCAACGACCGGGGTTCGATACCCGGCAGAACAGAATTTTTCTCTTCGCCACGACATCCTGTTCGATTTTGCAGCCCGCCCATCGCATCTGTCACTAACTGCTATTCTGATAGAGAACTCAGACATACATATAATGATCTCTATAATGTAAAACGTTCATTGTTATATTTACGTAATTTATGTTCTGTATTTCTCCTCTCGTCGGGGTATTTCGAAGAAATTCAGACAACCTCCGCGTCATTTGCTGCGGAATTAAAATGTATCTACTTTAATTTCTCTTCTAATACATTTCTGGGAATACCATAGCCTGCATTTTGCTGCTCGGTTTTAGACATTGGCAAGGTTGTGTGTGTATTTCGTTCACTTTGTAGGTGGATTCTAGAACATCTTTAGAATTTCTATAGACGAAGAGCATTTAATTATGTAGGTAATAAATCGTGTCCATGAGGCCGGTTTAATACAGCTGACGGAGCCGTGGCGCTAAATTATTCAGTCACTCTGATTATCACGTCTGAAGGCTTTCGTGTATCAATCAGCCGGCTAATTAACATTGGTCCTGAATTATGAAATACATGTCTCTTAGTCTGACACCGAGCCATTAGAGGACGATGAGTTTAAGTTGAAAGGCCGCCGAGTTTGGTACGGATTCACCTGTTACGTAATGGCGTCTGATACGTAGCGTCGTTTGTATTAATGTTGAAGAACAACTAATCTTTAACACCACGTATTTGTCTGCTTTGGGATGTGTATCTTCTCCCGCAGAATAACACGGCCTCCTGTATGACAGGTACCACCACGATGTCTTCACCTTTGGGTAAACGTGACTGTTGCGGACGAGCAACGTTCTTCAGAGTAGAGGTGTCTAGTATTGGAACTGTGATCTTCTGGCTTTTAACGCGGTATGGTCTTGTAGATAGTTACCAGCGCTTCGGAGGAATTTGACCGCGGATAGGATATTGACGTTTCTCATGACACTGAAATGTAACAGCGGATAACGAAATCGCGTATAAAGAAAGTATCCTGCAGATCGTGCCACAGCGGTTAGAGGTAAGAGGCTGCGCTGTTAATGTTATGCTCGTAACTTCCGACTTACAGCGACGATGAACCGCGTATATCTTATATTAAACTTCTAGTGCGTAGTCTGTGTAGATTTTTATTTCTGTAGAGGGTGGTGTGGAGAACGTAACATGAAAAGCTGCTGAATTTTGTCGTGTTCACCAATGAATTCCTATTGATTTACCGTGCCTAATTGTTCTTTTCATTATCACAACTTTCGTTTCTTATATTTTTGTAAAAATACTATTTTATGTCGTTCGTTTAGGGGGATTTGAATCGGTAATCCCTCTTATCCCCCCTTCCGGTATTGAAAACAGTAGCTTTTCGTGTTGTTTCGTTAGGAAGGATTGATTACCTCAATGTTTATCCCCGTCGATGGTTTCTGCAGGGCGAACGAAGACTTGCGTGCTTTCGAGCGGTCCGTTCCGCCTTTCGGAACGCACCTGGGTTCTGTAATTTGGAAGGAATGTGTCTTCTTTCTCCCTAGCTTCTGCTGCACGCACTGATGTTATATCCAATCATGTGATTGAAAGGTTATTTCTGTTTGGTCCAGCTAGTGAGAGTACTGTCGCCGTAGTTGTGCGACAGCTGTCAGATGGGCTGATAATTCTACAAAACAGATTTTCATAACAGAACGTACAAGTTAAAATATACTAAAATGTAATATTATCATATGTTTTAAAAGTGGTTTGAAATTTGTTCGCTCATTCTGGAGGGAGAACATAGAAGGTGTTTGAGTTTAGATCGCTGAGGAAAATGTGTTTACCAAAGAGAGGGAATGAGATGTGAAATGTTTTTAAACAATATCTTGAATGGGAGAAACCAGTTGGAGCGATATCGGTGAAATAGATCTCAAGGATGCAGGATGTAGCTAGTCTACTTTGGACTTGCCGGACTCTGGGTAGATCCAGTGGTGGGGCTTTTGTGCACACGGCTATGAACCTTCACAAAAGGCGGAAATTTATAGAGCAGCTGAGTGATTATTAGCTTCTTAAACACTCTGCTCCATGGAGTTAGGTTGTGTCTGGAACAGTGTTTTGTAGTCTCTGCCATAAAAATCGCCAGGTGCGTCTGTAAAGTCTGATTATGGAAGCAAGAGGACTGGGAAATGAAAGTTGGCTGCCGTTGTGAAAATCGGACCATTTTAAATAATGACCGATCTTTTCTCTTCTTATTTGTATTCATTATGTTTTTAGTAGATTTGACCTTGATGGGTAATGCCTTCCAGACACGCAGGAGGGCCGTTCCCTCTGCTTGCTTCTGACATGGTCACAAAGAATTTTGGTACGGCCAGAATCAAGTTTATAAGAAACTTGGCATTTTAGGACAAAGTAGTAATGTTACATACCAGAAGTATTAAAAGCAGTTTATCTTATGAAATGGAATATTTGCTGGTCGCAGCTGTCTTTTTTATTTAAATTATAATTTACTTCCTATACAAACCTTAGTTATTACAATTAATTAGCTGCAGGAAAAACCAAACCTTTTTATTAGGTGTTCTTTGTGCTTTAGTAAAAGAAGAACACTTTATGGACCTGTCCATGCCTGCCACGTTTTTGTCACATTTACAACAGTGACCTTGGATCATATTGTAGAAGTCATTGTTGATGCTGTGCGAAGAATATCTTTTGGAATTTCAAGTTACTACATAGAGTACACCTGTTCTGTCTTGTCAAAATTGAGAATTTGTCGTAGGGCTAAATTTGACTATGTTATTTGTTAGGTTTAATTTTAGGTTATTGGCTGTTAGGTCATGTGGCACGCAGACTTGTGAAATCTGATCTAACTTTTTCAGGCCGAAGACGTCATTTGTCGGATTTTCCAACGGGTGTAGGTGGCGTCTCCGCCTGCTACCCGGCCCCTGCGGAGGCCCGGACCTCGCGGAGGGCCACCGCATCCCCAGGTGGCGCCCACTGCAGAATGCCGCCACCCCTCGCCACCTTCGTCCTAGTCGTTTCAACAGTCCTCAGCATCGCGGGTGAGTTGCATGTCTTCGTGTTTCAGCAGACCCTTTAACTGTCTGCATGTAAACTACGCACGTGGCCCTGCTCGTCGCTTTTCGAAGCGTGCTCTTGATCAGAGGTCTTGCGTCTGATAGTGGTAAAGGTATTTTCTGTCGACGAAATGTAATTCTAAGTGCGTGTGTAGTTTGGTCAAGACGAAAATGATATATCCCGACTTGTAGTTGTCTTCTAATTTTAGGATTTTTTAATTTCCAATTCATGAGGGATGCTACTTTTTAGGAGAATACTCAGAAGAAATCATAACTAAATGCAAGTAACTTTTAACCGAATTCGTGGGCAGTGCGATTGTGTGTGATTGGCGATAGCATTCATTAAACGAATGGCTTTTACTTCCATGTCTCTTCTACGCATTCAAGGCGTGATGCTTTGGAAATAATAACTTCCACCCCCTGCAAACGTGTAGTCTGGTAGATATCGACCGACGTGCTGCCTTCATCATTAGGGTGATGACCACCTCTGAAACGTCAGTTAACTTGACCCAGAAGGCAACCATCTTCATACTCGCCGCCGTGAGAATCTGACGTCTCACTTGAAATTTTTTGCTGTCGGTGTCTGAATTGTGGTGTTTCGTAATACTTGATGGCCAGAAGCCGCAGTTGGTGAAGTGACGTAAAATTCCGTTTTACAAATCACAGACCGGAAGAGAGCCGATATTCTGAAAGTTGTAAAATAATTATATTCTTCGCGAATACTAAGTTATATCGATTTGCTTTTCGTAACTACCACTTGTGATTGTATTTTCCCGTTGTCTTCCTGCATGTAGAAGTCGTCTGCGGAATATCCAGAAAATATTAGAACCATTTCCGTTGATTGTGGTGTATTTCACAGCTGTGATGGACCACATAATTTTTTTTAACGCTGTACGTATTTATCATGTCAGACTACCATATTAACCACTTATCTTTGACACCACATCGAAATGTTTTCTGCGATATTCCTGTGATTACGTTTTACCTGAGGACGGAAACAGAATCTAAACTGTGAAATGTCGTATCCAATTAAAATTTAGACGATGGATAATGTTTTTATTGTAATAATACACTAAGTAAACCTTCAGATTAAGGTGCAACTGCTCGAGCCATTATGAAGCAACTGTAGTTCCTGTGTAAGATTAGGAAGCGATTTCTTTATGTAGTCGTCTGTTCCCCAACGAATGTGAATGCTGTACTTCCTGAAAACGATAATATCAGGTGAAGACTATACTGTGGTCGGAAATACGTGAATATCTTTATAGCTTCTTCTCATTAATTATTTTAGTTCAACTTTTCCAAGGAATATTAACTTTCAAGACGGAAACATAATAAATACTATTCTTTATTTCTAATCCGTTCGTTAATAATGGAGTTCAATGTACGAGAAGTTAATCTGACATGCTACAGTTTTTTTCTGACTAAAGTATATAAAGGAAATCCATTATATTTAGTTACTCGCATTGGCCTACAGTGCGTTTCATCAATGCCTTCAGTAGAACATTTATTTTGTTTATTTGTATTCCGTCGCACATTTCATGGACAAGCTTGGGCATTTCTGAATTCTGTTGGTGGAATGTAGGATTTTCTATTTGAAATAAAATTTACCTTAGATTTAATGACACAAGAACTTGCTATGGAGTTATTTCAGATTCTCATTGTTCGTCGATTAAACGAAACGAAATTATATTTTTATATCATAACCAAATAAATGTTTTGAAACCTGGTAGAATCCAAATATTACACACTGCTAATAAAAAGGCCCATGACTGGACCCCATTTTGAATCATTTCAGATTCTCACAGACTGTTTTCATGAAATGCATTTTAATAACATCCTCCCATATTTATCTCGGTTTTACTACTAGAGATGTATAAAACACGAAGTTCCCCATTGTGCTGTTTTTACTGTTTCTCTCTTAATGTTGATTAGGGATAAAATATTCCATTCGATTATTTAAAACGCACGCTTCGCTTATCCGAACAGATGCTTCAGATGGATCAGTCCTCAAGCAATGACAGACCGGGTGACCCAGCACGAACTCGTGTGTGTCCAGAGTTTCATGATTCGAGTCTTGGCCGGACACAGATTTTTCTTGGGTTCCATTGTTTTTACCTCCCAAGAGAATGTCACGATAGTACCTTGAAATAAGCTGCGTTCCTCCGATTAATTTTCCGTTCGCCGTACATAATCATTTCCTCGTTCTGATGATATTTCTTCTGCTGTCAATGCATTGCCATACGAACTAGTCATGAATTAGATTGGCGAATACGGTTGGCTGACATGATGTTACGGAAATTAGGTCTTGATTTTTGTTAAGAAATCTAGATATGAGATTATCCGCTGAAGGGAAGTATACTTGATTGACGTAGCCGATACCCGACGCCCAGTTGGACACGGCAAAGCCATTACTCGGGCATTCTTGTTGTGAAACATGTGTGCCATGAGGTAGACGACGACGACCGCGGCAGATATATTTTGTAGGCGGAAAGGAAACATTTTGCCAGCTGTTTCAAGGCAGGCCTGTCTATTCTGAATGGAAATCTTGTCCCTGATCAGGATGTTCACTGTTCGTGAGGCTGACCCATGCGGTAATTTTTGCAAGTATGCCCAGTACCTGTTGTGCAAAATGAAGGTATTCGGGTGACAGTAGATAGAGAGCCGCGTTCTCAGACTAGACGTTGATCACCTGCCAAAATCCCGGCGGGATTCGACGTTTGGCCAAACGTGCGTCGGAGTGAAGCAGTATAGTGAGAACAAGGAAAGCTATTTGCTGTCTGGAAAAGTTAACAGAAGATGTAGTTTCATTGCCCCACGAATGCAGGTTATTATTTCATGCACGTATTTAATTTTGTAAACAGCTTCTAAAGCATTTGATAATTCTGTTTCTGCGCTGTCAACGGACTCTCATCTTTCTACTTGCTTCATTAGAATGAATTCTCAGAATGAAAATCCTTCGCTAAAACTTATAGGAATCTAAGAAATTTTAAATCGTTTGGAAATTTTTCTTACAAATTATAACCAAAATTAATTTTGATGGCATTAATTACTTCTTGATAAGTTTGCCTCTTGTAGAGATCGGACACTTTTTCATTTTGGCTGCATTGATGCATTTGAACCCCTTCAGTATTGTCGGTTGTTGACGTGGATTCGCGTACTGCGGGTACGTGTTAAGTTGTCCACGCTCCGGTAAGCAACTCGTGGGTCACGACAGTTTTCTCGCTGAAATGTGAACGACCGAGAGCCCACACCTGCTGTTTGGCTGCTGCTTCCAACACCTTTATTTGGTTCAGTGTTTTCTCCGGAATGTTGATGGCACTCCGGTATTTAATTCGACAGGTAGGGTCATTATGTTCTGTTGAGCGAAACGAAAACTGCCATTTGATATACCGAAAGTTTTGGTTCGGCGATACCACGCGTTCGTATTCATGAGGTCTGCTTTAGAGTCCATGATTCCGAGGTGCTACTTCCGGTCTGTTTGATTCTTTTACACCGAAACAATACTACATTTGGCTGGAACTGCTGACTCGTTGCCGCGAGTCCACAGGGCTTGCCGTGTGTCGTAGCTTCAGTCTAAGATGCGATCCGTCCACTTCGCATCCTTCTTGGCGCGAAGAAGCCATTGTCGAGAAGTGGGTCACTGCTCCGACTGCACTCCTGCTCGATGCATCCCCGCCTGCGACTATTAATAGACCACAAAATGTAACCACGGATATTAATGATCGGCGTGACAATGTTGCAAAAAACAGGTCTCGTATAGCATTTGTTCGCTACCGCATTGTTTACGTTTCTGCTGCCGCCAAGCATTAATGCAAAGCGGAGTGTGTTCGGTTTCACTCGCTCAGTCGGGGTTTTGCCGCAGAATTCTTTGTTCCTGAACGAACAACAAAACCTGCTGTTGAGAGAGAGATAAAAGAAAAGCTATTGTTGCTGTTATCAACTGTGTGAAGACGCATCTGAGAAATTCTGTTAAGAGCCCCTAAGACATATCAGGTCCAACGCAAAACTCACCATCACAAGCCATCTCATTCCACCTCCTAACTTCACCGCTTGTTAGCTTGTTTATCCAATGCCCCGTGTAATATTATCCTACTTAAGCACAGTTCTTCCAGCAGCATTCGTCCTAATTCCAGCTGATACAGACTCATCTCTGGAACTCAGCAAGAATGGCTTAGGCCGGTCGTCATTTGTGTAACAGAGGTCCCTATTCCATATATTGATATTAAGCAGATGTAATAAGAGAGCGCCCTCACATGTGTTTGTTTGTTTGTTGTAGTAGTTGCTAATGTTTGGTCTGGCATTGATATCGCCCATATAACTTATAACTGTGCCTCTCATGTGTGGGGTCGCTCTCATAAGGAGAATGACATCATACCTCGTGACTATTGATCGTTCACCCCACCAAAAACCCCACCTTATTTGATATATTATTTATTTATTTTTATTTATTTATTTTAGTGTTCTGTCTGACGACAGGTCCATATGAACAGGATCCTTCCATCCTTTTCTCGGACTGGGACCTGTTCATATACGTTCTTGGCAGATGATCCAGAAGTGGTTTGCCAATGCCTTCTTCTGTGTGTGAATGGAGTAATTGTTGGGATGCCACGGAGAAACCGGGGAAGCCCCCGGAGGAAAACTCCGTGTTGCCTAGACCACGGCCTTGCCCAACACAATATATAAGTTTAATTACCCACAAGGCACATCATCAGAAGGTGGTCATGAAGTTACAGCGTTAACTTTGAGTAACCTACTGTTCAACTTTAATTTATCTTGTCTTGAGATTGAATAAAACTCTTCATATTAGTATCTACAAACTGACAATCTTCTACATTTGAAATACTTGGCTATTTCAACTTGCCCGCCAATCCTACGAAATACTACCAACTTCTAAGGAAGCCGATTACCAAATTTACCTCTGGCACTTCCAAGCGTATTACATTTGTATTGATTTATGTATTGTTGTTTGGCTGTCTCAGATGCAG